GAGGGCTTCAGGTCATCCTCTATCTCTCTCTGCTTTTTCTCTTGAGGCAAGGTCTCTTTCGGATTTTAGGGCTCATGTTTTTCTTGGCTAGGCTGAAGCCGGTGAGCTCTGGTAATTCTCCTGTCTCCACCCAATTTAGAACTAGGGTTACAGGCATAAGCCACATGCCTGGGCTCATTACATGTGTGTTGGGATCCAAACACAGGTCCTCAAGATTGTGTACTCAGATGCTCTTTATTACTGAGCCATCTCTCCAGCCCTGTGTCATTACTCTGAAGAACAATGTTGTAACGGTTTCTTTTTATTCATTTATTATTATTATTATTATTATTTTGTTGTTGTTTTTCGAGACAGGGTTTCTCTGTGTAACAGTCCTGACTGTTCTAGAACTCCCATTGTAGATCAGGGTGACCTCAAACTCACTAAGTTCTGCCTACTTCTGCCTCCCAAGTGCTGGGATTAAAGGTGTGCACCACCACCGCCCAGCCCTGTTCTTTTTTATAAGAGCCTTTGGGCTTTACTATATATAAAGGGTAGACAAAAGGAGGGAAACTGAAAGAAGAAAATAAAAAAGTACTTTAATCTCATTACCTAGCTGTTACCATTACCAGAATTTTTTACTTTCTACAGAAATGAATTTATATACATAATACATAGTTTTATTACCTTTAAATAACTTTATGTACAGAAGCAACGTGACTTACTACAGAAAAATTTAAATGTAATTAAGTGAGATAAAGAAAAGCTCTGGACAGATGGCTCATTTAGTAATGAGCTGTGCAAATGAGTTTGGGTTCCCAGCACCCATGTAAAAGCTGGGGGCAGCAGCTCGGTGGTGGTGGTGCATGTCTTTAATCCTGCACTCGGGAGGCAGAGACAGGTGGGGCTCTGTGAGTTCGATGCTAGCCTGGTCTACAAGACAACCAAGACTACACAGAGAAACCCTGTCTCTGGGGGGGAAAAAGCTGAGGGCAGCAGTAGTTTGAGCTGTAATCTCAGCATCAGGAGACAGAAAGAAAGAAAGGGATCCTCAGGGCTCTCTGGCCAGCCAGTCTAGCCAAATTGGTGAGCTTTAGGTTCAGAGAGAGACCCTGTTCCAAAAAATAAGTTAGAGCGATTGAGGAAGACAGCTGATATTGAATTCCAGCCTTCACACACAGGTGCTTGTGTACCCCCCCCCATGTATACACACACATTTAAAAAAGAAGAAAGTAAGAAGAAAAACACAGGAAACCCTAGCATCTAGAGAATACTGTTTATGTGTGTGACTATGAG